TTGCTTGCACGTAAGTCTGTGCACTACATGCATTCCTGGTACCCACAAAGTTCAGAAAAGTGTGTCAGATCCCCTGGAGAAACTGGATTTGCAAACAGTTGTGAGCCACTGTATGCATGGTGAGAATCAAATTCCAGAGCCCTGGAAGAGCATCCAGTGCTCTTAGTCACCAAAGCGTCTCTCCAGCCCCCAGGTACCATTCTTAAGAAAGCCTGGCAACTTCGACGTGGTGTTCTTGGGAATCCTAGACTGACGTATTAAAATTTCAGCTCTGTTGTTAGGAGAGGAAGCCACACGAGGCAACCATGGAGGGAGGTTGAGCCCCTGAGACCGCGAGGAAAAGCGAAGCTCAACATTTCTAGAGCGGCCGAGTGCAGCCATATTTAGTGATCAGTAGTAAGACCACCAAGTGAGCCACCCAACTAAGTTACCTCAGCTTGCAACAATCAAGAGCCAGTAATGTAAGCAAGAAAAAAAAATGTGAATTAACTCTTCAGCTCTACTAAATTTCAGAATTGCTATGACCATGTTTGGCAGAGTTGGAGACTCAAAGTCAGACCCTCATGACTGCTATGATGAACTCTGCTACCAAACTACCCAGCCCTCCAAAGTGCTCTGGTTGACTCTAGAAATCACTGATTCTGGAGCTCGTGCAGCTGAGCAATGCTGCTCCACTGGCTTTGCTGGGGATGACAAGACTGAAGCCACCTGGAGGAAAAACCACTTTTCCATAAAGCTCGCTCTTCACTGCCTTCCCCAGGGAAGCTGCTTTTCCACTCTCTTCCTCTGCCCTCCAATGAAAGACACCTAGCTACAAACTTAGCTCACTGTTTGTTGGGAAGAGATAGAAAGGCACAAGTCATAAGATCTTCCACTCAGTAACTTTAGCTTGAGAGAATTGAGGATGTGTGGACCTTACAGGTGGTAGGATTACTTTTTGTTGTTTGTTTTGTTTTTCATTTGGTGTTTTTTTGAGACTACTCAAAATTTGTGATTCCCTAAGACTTTCTAACTAACCTGGCAGCCATCTTTGCTCTCTCTCTCAGTCTGATCAGGATATCGTGGAGAGAGTAGGCTGTGCTTTCCAGGTATTGGATGGAAAGCTTTAGGTTACCCACCAAACGTAAGGTCAGAAACAAGCAGGATGAACCACAGAGGGGAGCCGAAGTGAGGAGGAACCACTAGACGGAAAGAGTCCTGGAAACGTATGACGGAGCACAGAACGAGGCTCCGGAAGAGTAAGGTGCACATCAAGGTTGAGAGGTAGCGTTAGAGGTGAGCCTGTGCAGTGGCTGGCTTCAGGGCTGAGACATCCAAAGCTATCTATAAACATAACTTATCTGCAAGGATCGTTAATTGTGAATAGTGATTTCCACTATGCTGTGAACCTTGTGTGTGTGTGTGTGTGTGAGAGAGAGAGAGAGAGAGAGAGAGAGAGAAGATAGCCATGAAGCTAAAAATGAAGATGATTTCCTTCATACAGTAAAGGTCTTTACAATCAGGTGTTTTTCTTATTACTCCAACTCAAGCAGCTTAAAAGTCCTTAGATTTGAAGTTTGTGGAACTAGGGCTGGGCATGGTGGCACATCTTTAACCCAGTACCCAGAGGCAGAGATAGGCAGATCTCTGTGAGGCTGAGGCTAGCCTGGTCTACAGAGCAGTTTCAGGACAGCCAGGGCTATACAGAAAAACCCCATTTTGAGCCTCCACCTCTCAAAATAAACAAAACTGATAATTTGTGCAGCTAATAGGAAAGGAGGTGACCTCTTTCATGGCCTGCCTGAAGGCCGCAGCTGCTGGCAATATCAGAAATCTGTTAAAGCGGGCAGATCTCGGTTTCCAGGTGCAATCGCAAACTAGAGCATTCCCTGTTAGTAACTTAAATAAGAAATATAAACAAAAACTGTGGAGGAGAACTTGTCCCACCAGGACATGGTACCCAGACACGATGCTTCAGGCCCTACCACACAGGAGAGGAGAGAAGCAAAGACAGAATGACAAGGGCTTGGAAGGTCAATCTGCCTCTGGTTTGACAACCACGCTCAGCTTTCTCGTGTGGCTCACAGATTTATTTATTTGCTTATTTATTTATTTATTTATTTTTTGAGACAGGGTTTCGTGTAACCTGTGCTGGCCTAGAATTTGTTACCGGGGCTAACCTTGAGCTTCGTCCACCTCCTAAAACCTGGGGTTGCATCTGTGTGCTGCCGTGCCCAGTGTACGTGGCTCTAGGGATTGAACCCAGGACCACTGAGCGTGCTAGGCAAAGCACTTTACTACCTGAGCTGCATCCCAGTCCCTGCGGCTCACAGACTTAACCGGATGTTCCTCTGCTTTGGCGTGTCTTCCTCAGGAACCACCTTCAGGATAGGAATTGAGCCAGAGTGAAATCTTGTCAATACTTCTCTCTTTTACCACCTAGAACCTACGGATGCAGCAGCTAGCAGGGACGGTAAAAAGAGGAAGCTTTTTATTGGCAGGATGTTTGGGCAGCAATGAGGGCATTGAAGGCAGGAGTCACGATTTCCCAAGGTTCTTTCTTAAAATATAGTGTGTTTGGCTTCAGGGCTTCTGACTCAGCCTCAGGCCAGGCATTCCATCTCGGGGCTAGTCCATTCCCAAGAGTACCTGGGGAGACCAGCTCATTTTCCACCTACAGTGTCGACAGAAACATCTGTTCTAGTTTGTTAGAAAATCAAAACAATGAGCTGTCAACCCATCCATCACCTCTCTGCAGAAGGACACATTCCTGCTGACTGATACACACCCTTCCCTAAGGGTTTACCCCGGACTGCCTGTGGGTCTGTGGAGCTGTGGATTGATTTTGATGATGATTTGAAAACCCTCTTACATCTTAATTTATTTAACCTTCTCCCATGAATAGCAAGCCTTCTCTTTGGGGAACCGTGGATTGACTACTGACTCATAAGCAGGCGACGGATCCCGGAAACAGCAAGCAAAAAATTGGCTCTCTAAAACAATGCCATTCCCTTTGCTCAGGTCACAAAGCCTTATAAGAAAGAGCGTGTGGGTGGAGTTGGCACACTGAGTTCACCTCACAGTCCTGCATGGTACATCGTGGGTACCTTGTGAGCCAAGGACTTTGTGAGCCACGACAGTGACCTTGTCATTTCAGGGCCTCCCTTCTTCTTCCATTAAAGTGAGCAAGATAGTACCTATCCTGCCAGCTCCATGGCATTCTTAAGAGGCCAGACCAGAGTAATGGAGTGGGAAGAAGATACATTCAGGAGGCTGTGCTGCTTGAATCCATTCATAGTGTCACCACCTAAATGCCAAACAACGTATCCTGGCGCTCCTTCCATGACAGAGGACACATCATCAGATTTCAGTGTACTGTGGTGCTTACTCTGGGCCCCAAATGGCCGTTGTTGGCCCTGCAGCCTTCGGCTCTCCTTTGGACATACAGAAACAAGTCCAATTCTCTTCTGGAAGAATAGCTTGCCGATGTCCAGAAGGCCTCCCACTCCTTGATCCAGAGTGGCCTCCGAGCCGTCTCACTGCCAAAGCAAGCATTTCTTTCCCTCCACTGTCAGGGCTATTGTTCTTTAAAGGTATGGTTGGTCTGGACTTGGAGGTGGCATTGAGGCCGTCTGAAAGGGGAAGGATGAAGTGGGACGCACCCCCCCCCTTTGTTCCAGATGCTGCTGTGCTTCTGTTAATGCACCAGTTTGTGAATGAGCTTCTTTGGTGACCACATCCCAGCAGTGCATTTCCCTGTGGTCTTGACTGTCAACATGTAACCTTCAGAGCATCGTGCCCCTTCATCCAGTTTGTCCTGCCTGCTACCCAGGGCGCTGGTTCTCAGTTCTCACCAGGACTTACGGTCTGCCAGTCCTACAGCTTTCCTCATCCCTCCCCTGATTCCTGCTGCTCCAGGTCCTCATTTCCCTTCTTCCTCAGCCTAGACCTTTGGCACACCATTGTGGCAATCCCCCCAAGTACACTTTCAATTCCCTTCTTGCCTGGAAAAAGACTGAGTCTGATTCATCTGTCTCAGCACCTCTCTTAGCACCTAACTCCCTCTGCGTCGACTCTCTTCCCATGACGCAGTGTGTGTATCAAAGCCTGAACTTCTCCAGGTATGCATTTGGTCCCCGGCCCTCTAGCTTACTCAAATTTCTGCTCCCCATTATTAATTTTCTGTGCCCCATTATTAATTTTCTCTTTTCTGCAGCACCCTTCCCATGAACCACAATACGACTTTATCTATTTTCCAGGGAGAACAAAGAGTCCATAGGTTCCCTGAATCACCGAAGCTCTGGCTTGCCCAGCTTGTGGAGGGCATTACTAGAACTCTGGTAGCATGCCAGTGGGTGTGGGTGGCCATGGTGGCTGGCAGAATAAGCAGGGGAGGAGGGTGGAGCTGCCAGCATTACGCTCTCCAGAGTAGACAAGAGCTCCCACAAATCTAGAAGACTTGGATTTGGGGAGTCTGCTGTACTGGTCTATTAACATTCTCCTAACCTGACCTAACCATGTGTGTGTGTGTGTGTGTGTGTGTGTGTGTGTGTGTGTGTGTGTG